AAAGCAGCTTCTCATCAGGGCGGCTCCCTCTGCCCTGAAGGAGAACGTTGGTTTATTTGTTTTGAGAGTTCTCAGGATCCAGAACTATTTGGCACCATGCCTTCCCTTGGCCACCTTTCACTCAGGCATAAGCTGGATAGTGCCAAACCCAACCTTTAACACTCCTCTGAGTAAAGGTCCTCAGATTGTTTGGTCCTTCAGACTTCCCTGTGCGGCCCTGTGGTGAATGTGGGAATTCTTCAGACCCACTGCCTCCCTTCCCCAACATACAGTGTATTATTAGTTTCAGAGGTAGAGTCTGTGATTCATCTGTCTTATATAATACCCAGTGCTGATTACATCGCGTGCCTTTCTTAATGCCCACCACCCAGTTACCCCATCCCTTCACCTCCTCGACCTCCTGCAACTCTCAGTTTGTTTCTTATGACTAAGAGTCTCTTATGGTTGGTCTCCTGATTTTGTCTTGTTTTCTTTTTCCCTCCCTTCCCCCATGAACCTCTGTTCTGCTTCTTAAATTCCACATGAGCGAGATCATATGACAATTGTCTTCTGATTGACTTATGTCACTTGGCACAATACCTTCTAGTTCTGTCCACATTATTGCAAATGGCAGGATTTCATTTTTTTAATGGCTGAGTAGTATTCTATTGTGCGCACACGTGCACACACACACACACATACACACAGACCACATCTTTACCCATTCATATGTCCATGGACATCTGGGCTCTTTCCATAGTTTTGCTGCTATAAACATTGGGGTGCACGTGTCCCTTCGGATCCCTACATCTGTATCTTTAGGGTAAATACCCACTAGTGCGATTCCTGGGTCGTAGGGTAGCTCTATTTGCAACTTTTTAGGAATCTCCACACTGTTTTCCAGAGTGGCTGCACCAGCTTTATTTATTTATTTGAGAGAGAGAGGGAGAACGGGAGAGAGAGCACAAGCAGGGAGGAGAGGGGGAAGCAGGCTCTCTGCTGAGCAGGGAGCCCGACACAGGGCTCAATCCCAGGACCCTGAGCCGAAGGCAGACGCTTAACCAACTGAGCCACCCAGGCACACCTGTGTGGGGGCGGTTTCTAAATCATTTGTATTATTTCAGTTCCATGAAACTTGCTGAGATGTTTATATAAATATTTTATGTGTTCTTGAACGTTCTTGTGTGTTCAGCTTCATGACTGTTGGATGCTGTGTCCTGCACATGTCGGCTCAGTCATCTTATCATAGTGGTAACATCCAGATCTTCTATAGCCTCACTGATTTTTCTCCTGCTGATTCTAGAAGTTTCTGAGAGAAGTATGCTAGTCTCCTCCCATGTATATTTGTCTATTTCTTTGCATGCTGCCAAGTGTTGCTTTATATGTTTTTTAAACTGCTAAGTGTACACACATCCAGATTTTTATATCTTTCTATTGAGTTGAGCTTTTTATAATATTAACATGTCACTGTTATTTCTAATAATGTTTTTCTTCTTAAAGGCTACTTTGTCTGAAATTAATATAGTTATACATGTTGGTTAATGTTCACATGATATATATATATATATATATATATATATAGCTGTTTTATCCCTACATCTCTCTCTTTTTTTTTTTTTAGATTTTTATTTATTTGACAGAGATTACAAGTAGGCAGAAAGGCAGGCAGATAGAGAGGGGGAAGCAGGCTCCCTGCTAAGTAGAGAGCCCGATGCGGGGCTCCATCCCAGGACCTGGGATCATGACCTGAGCCGAAGGCAGAGGCTTTAACCCACTGAGCCACCCAGGCACCCCTATTCCTACATCTCTTAATGCATTTTCTATATGTTCTTTTTTTCCTTCTGTATTTAGATTTTGATATTTTTGTATTGAATTAATCTTTTTTTGAAAAAAATCTGTGTCCAGGGTGCCTGGGTGGCTCAGTTGGTTGAGCATCTGCCTTCAGCTCAGGTCATGATCCCAGGGTCCTGGGATAGAGCCCCACATGGGGCTCCCTGCTCAGCGGGGCGTCTGCTTCTCCCTCTGCCTCTGCCACTCCTCCCTGCTCATGCTCTCTCACTCCCTCTCACTCTCGTACTCTCACTCAAATAAATAAATAAAAATCTTTAAAAATTTTTTGTGTCCAATCTCTTGTTAATGCCGTTAGCATTGAGCTCCTAATTCCATGTTTTATCATTGCCATTTCTCTGGGGAAATCCTTCATCTTGTCTTTTATATCCTTAAATGTAGTTATTTAAAATCTGTGGTCAGACAGTTTCATAATCTGGAGGTCCCATGGGTCTCTTTCTCCTATTGTTTGTGCTTTCTCTTGGGCTTTGTTTATGTTGTATTATTACTGCCTTGTTTGCTTGGTTATTTTGAAGTCAGCCTTTGCAGAGTGTGTTGAAAATTGTTCAAGATAATTGTTAGAAATAATCTGAGGTCCAGGATACCAACATTCTGGAATGACTTTAATTCCATTTGACTGAGAGTTGATGATTTGAAGCTGGGCCACTGGGCTTGTCAGGCCTGGCCTGTTTCTCGTTTTACCCCCAGAGTGAGGATAACACATCGCAAGTCCGGTTCACCAGCACACCCAGGCTCCAGCCACACAATGATGTCAAAAGCACTATGTGGCTTCTTGTCCCCTTCTTCAAGGACTGGCAAACATTTTGAGGAGGGAAATCTATCTCCAAATGCCAGACTCCTCTGTCTCTAGGCCTGCATTTCTTCCCTGCCTGTGATGCCTTTATTTTTTTTAAAGATTATTTATTTATTTGAGAGAGAAAGGACATGGGCAGGGGTGGGGGAGCGCGGAGGGAGAGAGAGAAAAGCAGGCTCCTGCAGAGCCCGATGCAGGGCTAGATCCCAAGACACTGAGATCGTAACCAGAGCCAAGCAAGGGCAGAGGCTTAAAGGACTGAGCCATCCAGGCGCAACCCTGTCCCCCACCCCCGTGATGCTTTAAAGTGGATGTTTTCCCTTTGTCTGGCTCTTCTAGTGATCTGTGGGAAATTTAATCTGATTGATTTTGTTTCCCATTACAGCGATGTCTGATTTACATTTTGACAGACAATTTTGTTAAAACAGAAGGGGGATGGCAAATGTTGGGGACCAAGGAGGAGACCATTGCAATAACCCAGTGAGACATGCCTGTGGCTTGGATCTGGGAATGAAAGAAAGTGACCAACCAAGAGTGTGGCTCCAGCGTTCACAGCCCAAGCAAAGGTGTGAATGGTTGTGTCCTTTTCTAAGATAGTGAAGGTAGAAAGGGAGCCATTTTGGGGGGCAGAGGTGAGAAGGAAGGAAGTGGAGTTTAGGTCATGTTAAGAGTGAAATGCCTCGGCGCCTGGGTGGCTCAGCCATTAAGCATCTGCCTTCAGGTCACGTCATGATCCTGGGGTCCTGTGTTCCAGCCCCGCATTGGGCTCCCTGCTTGGCGGGAAGCCTGCTTCTCCCTCTGCCAGTCCCCCTGCTTGTGTTCCCTCTCTCTCTGTGTTTCTCTCTGTCAAATAAATAAGATCTTAAAAAAAAAAAAAAGTGTAATGCCTCAAATAAAAACTTAAGAAAGAAACAAACAAACCCAAACCAAATAAAACAAAAAATGAAATGCTTCTTAGACACCCAAAGGAGGTATCTTGTGGGCAGCTGGGGTGTGCCTGGAGTTTAGGGGAGAGGTCTAAGCTGGAGATAAAACTTGGCTATCATCAGAATAGAGTTGCATTTTAAGCCCTGAGCCTAGATCAGCTCATCTGGGAGAAGAAACAGGTGCACAAGGACAGAAGACTGAGCCTGAGGCCCCCAACAGCATGAGGTGAGGGAAGTGGGGAGAAACCAGAGCATGGTGGCAGGCGGTGGTGGGGGCCTGGAAGCCGAATGCAGAAAGCACTTCCGGGAGCCGGGAACAATGGGTCAGGCGACATAAGGCTTTTGTGACGGGAGGTGTTTTTTGTTTTTTGTTTTTTGTTTTTTTTTTAACAGCTTTCCAGTTTATCTTTTGTTTTTGTTTGTGGTGTTTTAATTTTGTGAAACATCTGTGTTTCTCCCTGCCTGGATGTGACCATCTTCGTTGTGTCATGCTGCTGGCTTCCGCCCCTTTCCCTGGTCCAACATACCGCGTGTCCATGCTGTAGCCATGTGTGCCCTCGGGTGGGCCCAGAGCAAGGACATTGGCTCAGGGGAGCTTGTGAGCCCAGGGTTGGAGGGGGGGTAGTGTCAGGCTGAAGTGCCCGAGCTGAGGGAGGGTACCGGGGTCGGAGGTCCTATGGGGTGGGGGAGGGGAACCGGGTCCACTCCCTCTCTGGGCTTGGTTTCCCCATCTGTAATTGGTTTAAATGCTCGCTTCCTGAAAGTGTTGGGGAGGATTCCTTAGTGTTCAGGAAGGGGCGGCCTCCAGTGAACTGCTCAGGGCTGTGCCCTAGGAACAAGGTCATTTCCTCAACACAGGCCAGTCTGACTAGACCCTTGGAGCTAAAAGGCCTACCTCTTGGTGCCCATAGACAGGTGGGAGACTGAGACCAGAGAACATTCCCACAGACACTGGAGCCCCAGGAGGGGCTGGGGAACCCATTAGCCCAGGCCCCTGGGGACAGGGCAAGCTCCTGGGATCACCTGAAAAAGTCCAGTCTTAAAAGGATTGGGACCTGTGGTATCCCCAGTAGGATGCTGAGTGGGAGCTGCCTAGGCTGGGCTCCTGGACTGCTGGGGACTGGCGGGTCGGGCCCAGGCAAGTGAGTCACGGCTGCTGGGAGGGACTAGGGAACAATGGCTGCAAAAGCACTGCACAAACTGAGAAGTACCTTATGTAAGGCAAGGGGGAGTGTAAATGCCATTATGATTTGCAGTCTGTAGGGGGCTATGGACCTGTGAGCAGCTGGACTTGAGGGGGCAGCCCAATGTAGTCTCTGACCTAACCCAGAGTTTGGTGGCTGCAGATGGTCACCCACCTGTCACCATTTCCTGGTAAATGCCAACTGAGGAAGCCCATGTTGGGAGGCTGGGGCCAGGGGGCCAGACCTCTTATTCTGTGTCATGTTCCCTAGAGCCATTCTCCAGCAGCAGGGCTCACCTGTGGATGCCACCATCGCAGCTCTGGTCTGCACCGGAGTCGTCAACCCTCAGAGCATGGGCCTGGGCGGAGGGGTCATCTTCACTATCTACAATGCAACCACGGGTGAGTTCATATGAGGGGCCCCGTGGCGAGGACGGGCTGGTCCACAAGTGCTAACAGTGAAGTGCTTACAAACACCCTAAGTGTTCGCCGTGCACCCACACCTCTTCCTGGGTCCTCTTGGTGCCCCCCACATCCCCCACCTTGTCTGTGCAAAGCCACTGCAGCCCATCTCAGATATGAGCACTGTCAGGGAGGAGGAAATTCTTCTGCCCTTCAAGGTCCTTCTAGCTAACTATTAAATTGACAGGAGGGAAAGTAACAGGACAAAATCAAATTTAATTTCCTATGTATGGGGAATCCACACAGACATGGAAATTCCACAGACAGACAAAATCAGCTGTCTAGAGGATGGGGTCTGGGACTTCAAAGGGAAGGAATGCAATTCACAGGAAGATAAAGAAGAGTAAACATTTGCTAAGCAAATGTTGGCGGGGGCCACTGGGAAACAATGGGACCCAGAAGACTTTTACCAAAGGCCTCGCAAGGTCCCTCCCTGTCTCTCCTACCTAGTTTGTATCCTGCTGTAGTTGTCTATGGTGATGGTTCTCTTCCTGGAGCAGGTCTTCTGTCTAAATTCTTTCAGGCAGTAGTAGGGGGTAGATAGAAAGCTCTTCTGGATTCTGCTAGGTTTTAATTACTTTTAACTCAAAAATGATCTTCAAGGCAAAGTGGCCCATTTTGGGGTGGCCTGCTCTTGGCCCCTACAGCACAGAGTCGAGTTCAAGGTACAAAGAGAGAAACAGGCCTAGAACAGGGCCAGGGGCATATGAGGGTGCGTATGGTGTGGGGTGAGACCCAGAAGCCACAGGAGTGCCCCTGAGTGCTCACGTGCCCTGCCCCAACTCCAGGAAAGGTGGAAGTCATCAATGCCAGGGAGACAGTGCCCGCCAACTACGTCCCGGGTCTGCTGGACCAGTGTGAGCAGGCCCAGCCACTGGGTACAGGTGAGGCCCTTGGAGGGACCACCCTCTCATCCTACCAGGCCACTGAGGCTGACTAGAACCCTCCTCTGAAGGGGCTTTGTGGACAGGCTGTGACACCCTGGTGCCAAGGGAGCCCCCCTCGAGGTCCTGACTCCCGGAGTTGAGAGTCTTCCTGGGACAGGGCTTTCTGAGAAGGGAGTGGTAATCCAAGCAGAGGGACCAGACTGGCAAAGGTCTGGAAGGTTCAGTGGCGATGGGGTGGTGGTGGAGTGGGAGGTCCTGGGGCCAGTTTGGATTGGGCCCTGAGGGAAGGCAGTGGGGAGCCACGGGGTGGTTATGTGGGGAGTTGAGCGGGGAGTGACAAAGTCAGGTGTGGGCTCCAGAAAGCTCATTCTGGCTGCCATGCTAGGGGGACCAAGTGGGTGGGGCGAGTGTGGGGTGGTAGAGAACCCGTGCGGAAGGCTATGGGGCTGAGGGCAGGGACATGACATCCCCGGGCCTTGCAGGGGCCCAGTGGATCGGAGTGCCGGGGGAGCTCCGTGGCTATGCTGAGGCCCACCGCCGCCACGGCCGCCTGCCCTGGGCACAGCTCTTCAGGCCCACCATCTCCCTGCTCCAAGGGGACTACCGCATGCCCTTCATCCTCAGTCAGTTCCTGCAGAGCGACTTCCTGCGGCCTTCCTTATACAAGACATCCCTGAGGTGAGCACTGCCTCAGGGGCTCCCCGGATTCCCGCTCAGCTCCTGGGTTCAGGCTCTGGCCCGTGTGCCTCGCTCCCACCCCAGTTCCACCCCAGCCCTTCCTTGAACTTGAAGGTTGGCCCTGTGCGGGTGTCGGGGGCCTGAAGGCCGGGAAGGCCAGTGCTTTGCTGTCCCAGTTGACAGACCTTTGAGCTAGAATGTAATCAGAGGGCCTCAAGCCAGAAGTTTACATCCAAGTGACGGGACTCCAGGATGTGGATTTGGGCTCTGCCACTGCCCTCTGGCCATGCCCTTCTCCACCCCCACCATGTCCATGCCAGCCCACTGACCATGTCTTCCCAGGGGTGTCCCAGGCCCGTGTAGGGAGCGTGTCCTCCCTGGGCCAGGGTGATGAGTGAGGTGAGAGGCTTCAGCCTCCCCCAAGTATAGAGGAGCCATCTCCCCTGATGTCTACACCAGCTCCTCAGGACCCCGGACCAGGACTGCCTCCCTATAGGGTCCCAAAGAAACCACAAGAACCCCTGCAGGAGTGTGGCTGCCTTCCGGGGCCCGGCCCCACCCTGAGGCTGCCCCCAACTCCCCAGGCAGCTCTTTTTCAACGGCACAGAACCCCTGAGGGCTCAGGACCCATTCCCCTGGCCCGCACTGGCTGCCACCCTGGAAACCGTGGCCACGGAGGGTGCAGAGGCCTTCTACACAGGGACACTGGGCCAGACGCTGCTGGAGGACATTGCAAATCAAGGTCAGCTGCGCCAAGGTCCCAGAGCCCCCGCCCCTGCCAGAGAGAGTTGGGCTCTGGGTGCTAGGGGTGAGGGCAGGCCCTTCCGCAAGCCTGCCAGAATGTCAGCTGCTCCCAGGACTCAGGGAGGCCATGTGTCCAGGCCTGCCCACTGCTGGCCTCAAGGACCCTGTGGTCAGGGCCCCTGGGGAGCAGAGCCCCATAAATTAGCAAATTAGTGGTGGCTATAGTGGGTCACAGTGGGTTCCTGGGCCTGGAGCTGGCCACCCTCACAATCTGTCAGAGGCCAGCTTCCACTCACCTTCCCGTCCTCTTCCCACCAACCTGCCTGCCTCTGGCCTCCGTCCACCCATCCCTCACCTGGCTCTAGGGCCCAGCCCTGACGGCACTGCCTGCAGACCCTCCATCACCCCTAGGGTTCTAAGAGGCTAGGTTGATGTGGGGAGCCCCACCACATGACCTGGGATCAGGAGCTGTCACTCTGCCTCAGTTTCTCCATCCATACTTGGGGTCTCTTTCGTCTCACCTCAGGCAGCAGGCTGACCCTGCAGGACCTGGCATCGTTCCAGCCAGAGGTAGTGGATGCCCTGGAGATGCCCCTGGGGGACTACACCCTGTACTCACCACCACCGCCTGCAGGGGGTGCGATTCTCAGCCTTGTCCTCAACGTGCTCAAAGGTGAGACTCCCGCTCCGTCCCACCCAGAGTCCTTCCCCACTGGCATCTCCGAGCCCGGCTGGAGCTTTGGGCAGCCTTCCTCTTCCGGCTCAGCCCTCCTCAGACACCAAATAGAAATGGGTCAGGACGTTATGCCCTAGAGCTGGTCTCCCGGCGCAGTCCACACAGTGGGGCTTTGCTGAAGGGTCCGAGGTCATCCACCCAGGGAGTCCTGCCCCGCGGGTGGTGAGCAGCCTGGCCAGCGTGTGCCCCCAGGGCTGAAGTCTGGCCTGCAGGGTGGCAAATGGAGGTGGGGGGTCCCAGCCGTGCCCAGGTTTGGGGCGGCCCGCCGCTGTGTCAGTTCCTGGAGACTACGGTGACGGACTTGAGGCTTAAAGCAACAGAAATTTATTTTCTCCTAGTTCTGGAGGCCAGAAGTCCAAAATCAAGGTGTCAGCTGCTCTGTGTTTCCTCCGGGGACTCTGGGGGACAATCTGTTCCTTGTCTCCTCCAGCTCTTGGCGGCTGCCGGCATTTCCAGGCTGCGGCTGCAGCAGCACCCGGGTCTCTCCCTCTGCTCACACAGCCTCCTCCTCTTCTCTGTGTGTCTGTTTTATACGATTACATTTAATTGTGTGATTACATTTAGAGCCCTCCGGATAATCCAGGATAATCTGCTCTTCTCAAGATCCTTAACTTAATCACACATTTTGCCATATAAGGTAAAATTCACTCCTTTGCCCTATAAGGTAGTATTCACAGGTTCTGGGGATTAGGACATGGATGAATCTTTTTTGAGGGGGGCCAACAGTCCACCCACGACACGGGGTGACCCCGACCTGCGCCTATCCCCTCCCCAGGGTTCAACTTCTCCTCGGAATCGGTGGCCAGGTCCGAGGGGAGGGTGAACTTGTACCATCACCTCGTGGAGACGCTCAAGTTTGCTGGGGGACAGAGGTGGCGGCTGTGGGACCCCCGCAGCCACTTGGATATGCAGGTGAGGTAGACTGTGACCGCTGGAGAGCCCCCTTCCCAGCCCCCAGGGCTCTGCATGAAGGGAACATGAGGCTGTCCCTGGACCCCAAGAGTCTGACTGGGTGAGGTTGGAGGAGTGCATACAGAGTTTCAGGACAGGACAGCTTGGCAGTGGGCCAGGGCAGGGAGGGTGAGGTGGGTCTGCAGACTAGAAGGGACCCCTGAGTGGCAAGTACTAGAGGGACAGTGTTGGCACCATAATTCAGAGGACCTGGAGGATGGGCAGGGTGTGGGGGCAGCTTGGGCTGGAGGAAGACAGACTGGGGAGGGTCTCTCAAGGGACCCTCTTCTCTGTGGGGCCCTGGCTCCTCACTGACCTTGCCACCTGCCCGGCCACCCCAGAACGTTTCCCAGGACCTGCTGGGAGAAACTTTGGCCCAGCAGATCCGCCAGCAGATCGATGCTCGGGGAGACCACCAGCTCAGCCACTACAGCCTGGCTGGGACCTGGGGCCGCCAGATGGGCACGTCGCATGTGTCTGTGCTCGGGGAGGACGGCAGTGCTGTGGCAGCCACCAGCACCATCAACATGCCGTATGTGTCTGCCTGACCCTAGAATGCCCTCTTTTGCTCCCTCAGCAGGTCTTACGAGCCCCCAGTCTCCCCTTGCTTGTGTCCAGAGGGCAGTACCTTGCTTTTCCCTTCGCTGCCTCCTTTCTGTCAGAGGGGCTACTCTCCTGTCTTTTCTGGCTGGAAGGCTGCTGGCAGGTGGCCCTGAGCCAGGACCTGCTCGGGGATGAGGTTTACCCAGAAGGACGTCCTGACAGGGAGGCCCAGGGGGATCTTTGGGGGCAGTGCCAGGGAGAGAATAGTGGCCCCAAGGTGCTAGCGGGCTGTCACTTGCATGAGGGGGTCAGGCACATGTTCCAGGGCGGGAGCCTGGAGCCTGGAGCTCCAAGCCCAGACCTGACCCCACCTGCAGCTTTGGAGCAATGCTGTACTCACCACGAACGGGCATCCTCCTCAATAACGAGCTTCTGGACCTATGCAGGAGGCGTCCCCTGGGCTCCCAAGTCATCCCCCAACCTGGTGAGCCTGAGGACCCCACTGGTGGGAAGAGGGCAAGTGGGCAGGCCAGGTGGCATGAGGCAGCCCCTGAGCCAGCCCCAGTGTGCACAGCAGTGAATGGAGACACAGATGGAGGCGGGCGGGGGGGGGGGCGCGTCTGGAGGGTGCTGGCTGCAGATGAGAGTGCAGGTGACACCCACCTGGCCTCCAGTTCCAGGCGAGCGGCCTCCATCGTCCATGGTTCCCTCCATCTTGGTCAACACAGCCCGGGGGTCAAAGCTGGTGATTGGTGGGGCCGGTGGGGAGCTCATCATCTCTGCTGTGGCCCAGGTGAGTTGGGGAGCACCTGGCTGGAACATCCCCACTCCTGGCGGGGGAAGGAAGGGGCTTCCTTCTGTGGCTGTGGCTGTGGTCAGTGTCCCCTCCCTCCCTTCCTGTGTTCTCCTTCTCTCCCCCAGGCCATCATAAACAAGCTGTGGCTTGACTTTGACCTAAGAACTGCCATTGCAGCCCCTATCCTGCACGTCAACAGCAAGGGCCATGTGGAATATGAGCCCACCTTCAGCCAGGTAAGGCCGCTGTCCCTGTCACCGCCAGGACTGATGCCTCGGTGCATGTTGCTCAAAGCCCCCAGTGGGATCTTAGCCACTGAGTATTTTCAGCTGGGCACACTTCCCCTTCTGGGGCCATCCGTTCAGAAGCTCAGTGTGGAAGGCGCCAGGCCAGTCTTGTGGCTCCTGAGGCAGAGAACAGGGTGTCATCCATGCTTTTCCCAGGCCAGGCACCTCTGCCCCTTGGTCTCTGCTCTGTTCTGTTCTCTCCAGATGCTAGTCTTCCCGGCTGTGGCTTTGCAGACTCTCTCTCATGGTGATCTGTTTCCTTGTGGGGCTTGAAGCTTTCATGTGTGAGTTTATTTGTAAGAGTAGTAGTCATTTCCTTCTGAGGACTGGGGTTGCATTAGTGCTGTCCTTATAATATTTCTTGGGTTTCCCCCCTCACAAGCAGGTCCCCAGAGCTAAATTCTCTCATCCGACTCCCTGCCCCCAAACCCCTGCCCTAACACATAGTCACCTTCTTCTCTGGGCTGGGAGATGCCCTTTGCTAAAGTCTTTTTTTTTTTTTTTTAAGATTTTATTTATTTATTTGACAGGCAGAGATCTCAAGTAGGCATAGAGGCAGGCAGAGAGAGAGGAGGAAGCAGGCCCCTTGCTGAGCAGAGAGCCTGATGTGGGGCTCAATCCCAGGACTCTGAGATCATGACCTGAGCCAAAGGCAGAGGCTTTAACCCACTGAGCCACCCAGGCGCCCCCCCCCCGCTTTGTTAAGATCTAATTTAAAAGTCTGGCAGCTTTTGAAGGCTTTGAGCTTCATGCCTGGGTTCTGTATAGCCAGCTGGGGTTTAAGGTCCTCAAAGCTGCCTCGTCCGTGGTGAGGGGCTCTTGGTGTTAAGGCTGACTCCTGTGGCCCTTGGAGCACTGAGGACCATACATCGAGGAAACTTTACTCCAAGGGAGTGTGCAATCCCTGGGAACCTTGGTCCTGGGGCCTGGAGACTAAGGACTCTCAGACTCTGAGGTGCTCCCTCTCCCTATATAGGGTCCTCCCCATGGTGTCTTCAGATGCAGGCCAGAAATGGTCTTGCATCTCAAACTCCTTCTGGCCTGGGTGATGTTCTCTCTGCCATGTTCCCCAGAGCTTGGCTTCTCCACTGGGACTTATTGTGGGAGGCCATGGACTCCAGGCCCTCCAAACGAGGCTATAGCCAGTGTCATCCCATCCTCACCATCACTTATGCCCAGTCCTGCCTTCTCAGTTGGGACTCAGATCTCTGCCTGGGGCCCTAGGCCCTCAACAGGTGGAGCTAAGCTGTCTTCACCTGTGCACTGGCCTTCTCTCCCCTCCAGGAGGTGCAGAAGGGGCTCCAGGCCAGGGGCCACAACCACACCAGGAATCCCTTTTTCCTGAATGTGGTCCAGGCAGTGTCCCAGGACGGGGCCTGTGTGTATGCTGCAGCGGACCCGAGGAAAGGTGGGGAGGCCTCAGGCTACTGAGGAGACTGCTCCTGAGAGCTGCAATCCGGCCCCACCACCAGTGTGTGCCCAGGCCCGGCCTTGGCCTTGGGACCAGGATCTGGACCCTTTGGCGGAGGGTCAGTCTGGGGCTGCAAGAGGTGGGGACAGCCTGGAAGATGGATGACTGTGGGGGCTGAGCCTTCTCCCAGAGCCCCTTGTGGCCCTGCCCCTGACCACCCCTGACCCCACTAAGTCTTCCCTAGGCCTCTCACCCAGGACTGTGGCCTACCCTTGCCCCAGGTCACACTCCCCACCTGTATGCTGTCTAGTCCAACATTAAAGAGGAGGGTGGACCTCAGCCTGATTTGGGGTCTAGTTGTGGGACGGCACCCTTAGAAAGCACACGCACTGAGTTCCTACAGTCTTCCATGACACACCAGCATGGAGGTGTGGAAACCAAGACCTAACAACCAGCTGGCCTCGCTCAGGCCAGCCCTGGATGGAGGCGGCACCCCACCACCCGCTGGGCCTCTGCAATATGGCTGTTGGGGGCCTGTGTGTTGGTGGGAAGGCAGGGCTGTGGCCAAGTGGCACCTGCCCCTGACTCTTGCCAGGACCATCTCTGGATCTTGTCCTCTGTGCCAGGAAAAGTTCGGATGAACTAGGACCCGAGACCCCCCACCCCAGTCCCCAGTCCCAGCAATTGCCCATGTTCTCACCCTCAGCACTGTGGGCATTTTGAATGAAAGGGTCTTTGTTGGGGGGCTGTCCCCCCATTGTAGTGTGTTGAGCAGCCTCTCTGGCTTCTCCTTCCAGGATGCAAAGCACCCACTACCACCAGCAGTGGCCAAATCATCCCTAGTTGAAAACTACTGCTCTGGACCCATTAGCCCCCAGTTGCTGAGAATGGCTTTGCCAGCTGTTGTGTGGGCTGCCCTCCCGGAGGGTGCCTCACTGGACTGACCTGGGATTCCTGCCCCACACGGATTCCTGGGAGCATTGGGGGTTACCCCAGTGTCCCGCAGGGGCACACCTCCACCCGGCAGGGTCTGAGGCCCATTCCATTGCTGAGCCATTGGCCATGGCCTCCCACCCCACTTGTCACTTCTGCCGTATGAGGTTAACATTCTCAAGTGCCAGGGATCAGGATGGGGACCTGATGGGGACCTTTTGTCGACCACACACGGGGAGAAGAGGGTGGATGGGGCAGATCTCTGATCTGAGCTTGACTGTGAGGGTCTAAGGGGGTATTCTGACAGACTCCAGGAGAAAGGACTGGGGACAAGGATGGCTGACTTGGAGAAGGGGGACAGGCCTGCGATCATCACTGTGCTCCATGGTGGACCCCGGGGCCCCTCACTGCTGCACTTGGGCATCCTGGAGACCACAGCTCCTCCCAGAGTCTGACTTTGGCAGGGAGTGGGAAGAGGACTTTTGGGAAGGGCAGGTCTGTTTCAGGAGCCAGGGGTGCAGAAAAAGTGGGCGGAGACAAGCAGGAGTTGGGAGGGTGCAGTTTCTGACCTGGTCCAGAGTCTGGCCCTGTGCTGTCAGGACCATCCATGGGGGGCCTCCCCAGGGGAGGGTGCCTTGGCCACCGTCCCGATGTCTCCAGCACTTTGTTCACTGAACTTCACAACCAGCCGGGGTGACAGAGCTCCCCTCCACACTGCTTTTGAAGCTTAACAAAAGTCCCAGGGCAGCTCTCATGGGACAAGCAGGTCCCTCCCTGAGGCTCAGTTCTCACACACGAGCTGACGGGTCCCCACCCCCGCTCTGTCCCAGGTTTCTGGATCATCAGACCCCACACCCACACTCCAACTGTGGCCAGAGGCATCTCAGACTCAACACGCCCAACTGGAAGCCAGCTCTGAGGCAACTGGAAACTCTCTGGTGTCCTCCTCTCCCACCCTGGGCACCCAATCTTCCCTCTCCCCCTCTGCCTGGCTCAGCCCTGGCTCCTCCCTCTCCGCCTCCTTGGTGCGGCCACTGCCTCCACCCACTCCCCACTCATGACAATCATGGGCCTTGAAAAATGCATACCTGATCCTGTTATGAGGCAGTCAGAGCTCTCCTTGGTTCCTGGTGCCCCTGAAGGAATCCCACTCCTCTCCCTCCCTGCCGATCCCACCCTCGGGGACTTGCCTAGCCGGTGCCCACATCCCACAAGGACCACCAGCAATGTCCGTGATCCCACTTACGCAGCCGAGTCAGGGACTCCTTTGCATATCTTGCTACACAGAGGAAATCAGAACCAGGGCTACAGTATCCCCAAAATAACCATTGGCACAGTACAGACCAGCCCCTACAGAATACGGTTAATGCAGGATCCAAGGAAAATGCATTGTCTGAAACAATTGCATGAACAATAAGCATCAAAATGAATAAAGGATCTAAATGAAAGTTAGTAAAGGAGCAGTCAGAACAATCAGGAAAGCAAGGGGAAATGCTCAGTAACAACTGAAGCAGAGACTGATAAATCTGAAATCAGGAAAAAGGGTCTTTGAAAAAACAATGGGTTATTCGACAGCTTACAGTACAAAAGAAGAAAATGCAAACACACAAAAGGAATGACAACGGGGAAATGAGCTCAGATATAGAGAAAGTTAAAAGATCATTCATCCAAATAAATTTGGCAAGTTCAATAAAATAAATTACTCTCTAGGATGATTTAAGTAGGGTTACATGGGACAAATACTGAAAACGTTGTTTATCTGAAATTCAAATTTAAGTGGGTGTCCTATATTTTTGTTTGCTAAATCTGGCAACCTTTAATATAAATGACAGATCCAAGGAGGGGCAAAGATCTAGATGTGTCAACAATCATTAAAAAAATTAAGAACATTGCAGGAACACTGGCTTACCTCAAAGACCCTTCTAGAAATTTCCTCAGGTGAAGTGTGTCCTGCCATTAAGGACAGAGACTGGTCTTGCCAGTTAAGCCCCCACAGGGAGGAGCAAGAAGGAAAATGTCTACATTCACTTTATGAAGCCAGCAAAACACTGACCCCAAACCTTCTAAAGAGAACCACAGACCAGTTGTGTTTTTGAAATTCAACACGAAGTTCCTAAAAAATATTAGCATGGAGAATCTAGCAACACATGAACACAATGACATGTCCCACCTCACCCAGTAGGGCAGACACCAGCACTGCAAGGAAGGTCTTCTTTCAGTGTATCCATGAGTGTGACTCTCACTTCTTCTCTTCTATCCTGAGGAGAAATGGTTTATCTCTACAGAGAATGAGGGAGCATTTGACAAATTGCAATACCCCTTCTATTTTTTTTTTTAAGATTTTATCTATTCATTTAAGAGAGAGCGAGCCAAGCAGGGGAAGAGGCAGAGGGAGAGGGCGAAGTGGACTTCCCACTGATCAGGGAGCCCGACGTGGCCCATATTCCAGGACCTGGAGATGATAACCTGAGCCGAAGGCAGACGCTTAACTGACTGAGCCACCCAGGGGCTCCTCAACACCCATTCTTGATAAAAATGACAAAAGAAAGAAAGAAACCCACCAAAAAACCACCAAATAAAATAGGAATGAATGGATACTCCTTTAATGTGAATATATGTCCCAAGGCAACAATAGCAACCTCCGCTGGGCATTGACCATGGGCTGGGTACCTGTCTATTGCTTTACATGTATTAACTCAATTCATATAATTCTCCTTAATGAAGTGGAGCTATGATTATCCCAGTTTTATAGATGAGGATCCTGAAGTCATAATGAACCAAGGGTCATGCAGAATAAATGCCAGGAACAAACCCCCGATACACTGATGGAGAAAATCAATCTTGACTCCTACCTCACACCAAATATAAAAATAATTTAAGATGAATCTTAGGCCTAAATGGAGAAGTTAAAACAAGTGCTTGGGCAAGTGTTCCAGTATCAACTATTATAAAGAACTTTATTTTTTTGAATTCCATCGGGGAGGGAAAAAATCAAGGGGCTCCTGGGTGGCTCAGTCAGGAATCGTCTGCCTTCGGCTCAGGTCATGATCCTGGGGTCCTGGAGTTGAGCCCCACGTAAGGCTCCCTGCTCAGCGTGGAGTCTTCTTCTCCCTCTCCCCACCATACCCCATCATGTTCTCTCTTGCTCCCTCAAATAAAGAAAATATTTTTAAAAAATCAAGTAAACAAATCCATCTGAATTTGTTTTAAAACAAATTATAAACATACAGTTGTTAAAGCAGCATATGAGTAAACCTATGAAGTCAAGCGACTACAATATAAACTCCACAAAGAGATGTAAATAAATATGGAAATCATGTCTCTGCTAAAGGAGCAGTTCAAAGCCATAAGAAAAAGATTGTTATCAATACCTCTTGGAACAAGTGGGCAGCCCCTAGGAAAATAACAAAGTGGGATCCCTACCTTTTTATCAAATAAAATAAATCAAAATAAATTCCAGTCAGATCAAGACTGAAGTGTTAAAAGTGAAACCATATAGATCTATAAAAAATCAAACGCAGGGCGCCTGGGTGGCTCAGTCAGTTAAGCGTCTGCCTTCCACTCAGGTCATGATCCCAAGTTGGGATTAAGCCCCGCATCAGGCTCCCTGCTCTGCAGAGAGCCTGCTTCTCCCTCTACCTCTCCCCATGCTTGCTCTCTCTCTCTCTCTCTCTCTCTCTCTGTGTCACATAAATAAAATCTTTAAAAAAAGTTTAAAAAAAACCCCAAAATATCACAAGGAAATTTTATTTATATTCTTAGAGAAAGGAAAACCTTTTCAGGCATGACATAAAAATAAGAAGTAAAAGAAAAAAAAAGAACACCAGATATATTTGAACACGTAAAAAGTAGAAATTTTGACGTAGAAAACTTCTTTAAAGACCAACAAACACAAATAAAATCTTAAAAAAAAAAAAAGACCAACAGATATTTGCGACGACGTGGCTGGAGCTAGAGCAGATTACGCTGAGCAAAATAAGTCAGAGGAAGACAAATACTATATGATTTCACTCATACGTGGAATTTAAGAAACATGACAAATGAGCAAAGAAAACGAGAGAGGAACCAAAAAACAGACTCTTAACTATAGAGAACAAACTGGTAGTAACCAGAGGAGAGGTGAGGGAGGGGAGTGTACTAGAGAATGGGGATTAAAAATTACACGTAACCGGATGAGCCCTGAGTAATGTATAGAATGGTCGAGTCACTACATTGTACGCCTGAAAGTAATACAACACTGTATGTTAATTATGCCAGAATTAAAACTCTTAAAAATAAAAAAAAAATAAATCTTAAAGGCCAATGACAAACTTGAGGAAAATAGTTTCAGTACATAATACGCTATGGGGTTGGGTTCTTTAATATTTAAATACTTAAATATTTAATGTCAAAGACCAAGTGTCCAT